TTGTTTTAATTGGCGGGCTAGAGCTGACTCCTATGGTGTGATTTTCATTAGAGAGGGGCTGGAGAGAGGGAGTGTTGGAACAGTCCTCCAAGCCCAACCATGAATATTAAACATAATACAATTACAGCTTTCAGACCAATTATTTTTCTTTTCAGCAGGCAAAGTTGATGAAATACTCGCTAGATAGGGATTCACAATGTCTACCGTTGGCTTCTTTTTGTCCCTGGAATCAGTTGTCTTGGCATATTTTTGTGCCCATTTGCTGTGCTACCTGTTTCCCAGTGTCCAGTATTTGATTTGAGTGCCGAGGTTACAGGCTGTGCCAGGGTACGCTGCATTTCAGTTTGGTGCTGCACGCTGTCAGATGTTCGAGGCAGGTACCTGTTTCTTAATGTGATTTTGAATGGCTTGCATGGACTTAAGCACACTGTGGCGTTTGCTTATTTCTGTCAGCAAGAAGCCAGAGTGATACTCTCTCTCCAAGGAGATGTCCAAAAAATGTTTTTCCTTTTTTCACGTGGGGAGCAGCTCAGTTGTGTTTTGGCCCATTTTTGTTTTCCTTCGCGATAAAAAATACACTAATGCTGTATCTTTTGGTGTATTTGTTTATTTTGTTTGGCGCCATCCATGCTGGTATCTAAATACAATAGGAAAACAGATGGCAAACTTTGAACTTCTGGACCAAATTTGTGTTTGCCTTTGTCTCCTTAACAGCCAAACTGTAAATTATGGAGTATAAATATTCAACAGAGGAGCTCTTTATGGAAATCACCACAGCAAAATAGACCCTTATTAACCAAACATACACTGAAGAGTACTTGGGCTGAGAATTTCTTCCCCCCAACACCCTTTTCAAGGTCCCCTTATAGCCTAGAGCCAGTGTTCCTTTTACTGCACTTAAACTTTTTCTCTCTTCTCTGCCTAAACAGCCTTAGCTACAAAAGATAGGTGTGTCTAAATACTAACAGCCAGACCTTTGTTTTCAAAGTAAACTTGATGTTCTCTGTCTTCCTAGTCTAGACCCTTCACTGGAAAGTCAGGACTGAATGGAGTTCTGTAGCCAACAGACCTCTTCATTCACCTGCGTGGCCTTGCAGGAAGAATTAACGGTCTCTCCTCTGTGTTTTCTTTTTAACGTGGGGCAGGGAGGGGGTCTTCCCGTGAGGACCGGAAAACCTGCTAGACAAATTCTAAAAGAGCTGTAACACTTCTCTGTGTTCTAAGACTACCATTACCTAAAAAAAAAAAAATGAACGTATTTTTAAAATTATGAAGCAGAGCATACATACGGGAGTGTTTATAAGGTATTTGTACAGTTTCAAGAATAACTGAGAATGCCTGCGCACCCACCACTCAGTTTGAGTGTGTGTGTGGCTGGTATTCTTGAAGGTCTCTGGTGCGCCCCGCCCCCCCAGGCATGAACGAGCTCTTGTTTTGTCAACGTGGCAGTATCCAGAATAAAAAGTAGAAGCCTCCTTTATTGCCCTCATTCTTCACTGCCATTCCTCTTCTCCAACCAAGCTCACTGCTGTTTTTATCTTTAAAATTTTTCAGTTTTATTTAAACAGCTAGCTGCACATTCAAAATGGAGTTCAAAAGCACACAGTGGCACAGAGAGAAGAGTGGGTCTCCTGTGTACCCCTCCCCTCCCCTCCTGCAGCCTAGTCAGCCTCCTCCGCTGTGACTGCTCGACGATGAGCGTCCTCCAGTCCGGGGTTGTCCACACACACGCAGCCTGGACGCACGTATCCCCCCAGCACGCACCTGGTCATGCCACTGCCCCCTCTTTAATGGCTGTACCGTAACTGCTTTAACTAGCACTCGTTGATGTGCTAGTTAATCGTGCCACCGACATCCAGTCATTCCAATTCATGATAATTTAAACATTTTTTCTTATTTTTCTTGTCTAATTAATAGGTAATGTCTTTTTCCTTCAGGTTGCTTTTAAGACCTCTTTGTCCTTTGTGTTTTCCCATTTTTTATTCTACTCTTAGGTGTGTATTTCTTATTTATTCTGATTAGTACACATTGAGTTTGAATGTCATCAATTCTAGGAAAATAACAGCCATTAACTATTTGAATATTGCTTCTTTGTCATATGCTATTTTCTCCTTCTGGAACTTCTATTGGACGTAAGCTGGGCCATCCCCTTCTATCCTCCTTGTCTCAACTCCTTCCATTTTTCATCTGTTTATCTCTTTGTAACTTCTTCAGATGGTTATTCTGATTCACAATTTTTAAGACAAGAATCTTAACACTCCCCTCCTCCCCTTCAGGTGGGCCCAAGCCTTATGATCCTGCCCTGCATGGTGTTAAGCCCCAAACCCACTGGTCTGGCACCTGCCAACAACCTTACACCACCACATGGCAACACACTCCCGGGTCTGGTTTTCAGCCTGGACCCTGGGTAAGTCACTTTGTGAGCTCAGCAGTGGATTTAAAAGGATGTTATATTTTATCCAGCTTTATTAAGTAACTTACAGTGGAAGAGTCTGAAACAGAAGCCCTATCTTTAGCTACTAAAAACAGCACAATGGCCTCTTGTGTAGGCATACACATGTGTAGATGTATCGTACATAAATGCCTAGAAGTGCAATTGCTAGGTCAAAAGTGAAGTATGTTTAAGTGATACTGCATTGTAGTTTTATTGTGTTATTTCTCTTAGTGCCAGTAAACTTAATCATCTTACACATGTTTAAGAGATATTAGTATTTTTCTGTGAATTTTTCTCTCAGAGTTGTCAGCACTGTTGTTGGTTGCAAACATTTTTTCCCAGTTCGTTTGACTCGACTTTATTTTTTCCCCCATATGGGAAAAGCTAAACACTTTATATTATACATAGTTAATCTTTTCTTTTTTGGCTTCTGGTTTTTGTTATGTTTTAGAAAGGCCTTCCCTATTCTGAATATTTTTAACTCTTTGAACCCTTTATAATTTATCTGTTGTATGTGGTAGAGCTCCAAGTTAAGAAAATTATTATAGAGTATTTTGCCTTTAATTGCTGTTACAAGTGGGATCTTTGGTTACATTTTTAAAAGTCATTACTGAATTCTCTTGGATTGTCTAATGATAAATTTCTTTCCAACTTTCATATACTTTTCATCTTTTTCTCATCTAATCATATCTGATTATTTTTTAAAACAATGAGATAATAATGGTAATAGTATATCACTGTATTTTCAGGCTTTTCATTAGGAATGGGTGTTATATTTTACTAGATTTCTTTCAGAATCCATGGAAATGACCCTGTAGTTTTTCTTAGATTCTCCTTGTTGGTGGCATATTGCTATGGAGTCTGTAGTTTTATCGTGCTCTCACTGTCGGGTTTTTGGTAAAAGAATGCTGGCTTCGTGTACAGTTTGGGTGCTTGCCTCCTTTTCCTAGGCTGTGGAGCAGTTTACCTAGCCCTGGAGGTAGCTCTTCTGTACAAGTTTGGCCACGGTCACCTGTTCTTCTCTTGTGAGAACCAGTGCTCCTTGATAGCTTTCCCAGCTCGCTCTTATTGTTTTATCTGTTTAGGGGTCAGTTTTGGTAATTCTTATTTTCCCAGAAAGTCATTTATTCATCTGTTTTCAAATTTAGAGATTTAAAATAATTCAAAAACAAAGCCTACAACAAGTGCATGTAGTTTTTTACCAAACATTTAGTAAATTATGTTCTCCATTGTTACAAAGGGCTCTTAATCTAATGCTTTTTGGCCTGAAATCTACCTTTTCTAGTATTAGAATTGTAATCACTTCCTTGTCATTTGCAAATGTGCATTTCCTGTGTGGCATATGCTTAGTTTTGCTTAGTGTCATGTGACACTCTTGTTAGTGGGTGGTTCGTCCTATGTGCATCGGTCTACTACACAAGCTGCCTGTCTGCTTATGCCACGATACCTCACTGTGGGCCTGTGTATTGGCTCCTCACATACCTTCTGATTTGCTATATCACTTTCTTTCAGAGTGTGCACAGGCAATTCACTTAGAGTCCTTTTCTGTTTTAAAAAAGCCTCATAACTCCTTCAAACTTAGTAGGTAAGGTAGGTATAGAATTTTTAGTTCAAAATAATTTTCCCTCAGAACTCTGAAAATAAGTTATGCACATGAATCTGGGTCATAGAACATGCGTAGATAATCCTGTCTCACCACACATTTTTGGGGTAAACCATGTTTATGATGACATTTAACCATATTATCCTTACGTTTATCCAGCTCCACTGCTACATGGTAGGATCTTTTGACTTCCATCCTAGGGTCTGTTAATCTTTATATTCATTAATTTGCTTAAATTCTGCCTCGATTTTAGCTCTTATACCTTATTTCTGGAACTGTTAATAAGTATGGTGGTGTTTGTAGTGGATAAGAGATTTCTGCCTCATCTATTTTATCCTCGTGAAAATTTAGCATACAAAGAGGTTCTTTAATTCATACAAGACAAGTAATTATCTCGAGTACGTGGACACCGGCAATCACTTACCCCAGTGCTGTAGTACTCAGTTAGCTATAAAAACTTTTCTGAATTTCAACAAGATGGTGATGGACTCACAAAGATGAATTAAATACCCAAAAAGTGGTACTTCCCTAGCCAGGCAAGGATTTGGGGTGTGTAGCTGATTTTCTCCTTGCCCTAAACAGATTATTATACCACCAGCAAACTGACTGTGCTGGGTGGTAAACTTACCATTGGGACAGGGTGGAGTCACAAAGCCTGTCAGATCTCAGCTTCCTTCTAAATGACACAGGTGCCTTTTCCCTGTTGAGCAGATTACGTGGGCACCAGGGCAGCTAATATCCTTGTCCTTCTCGTTCCGTGTACTTTTAAAGCATTCCAATTAAATGGTTGTGGGTAGGCTCTGACAGTGTACTGATTGGGAGATACAAGTTTGCTATTATTGTAGATGCTTGCAACCAAAGAAGTCTTACAAAGGAACATTGCGCACAGACCAGCACGACTGAAGAGGAATTTGTAATTTCAAGCTTTAGCTCTAACCCCACTTCCCTTTGCTGCTCTTCCAGGGTGAGGATCCATGACCTGCGCACAGATAAAATCGCCCTGTCACTCTCTGCGCACCAGCTTGGGGTCTCTGCTGTCCAGATGGACGACTGGAAAATCGTCAGTGGAGGCGAGGAAGGGCTGGTGTCTGTGTGGGATTATCGGATGAACCAGAAGCTGTGGGAGGTGCATTCCAGGTAAGGTGGCTCCTGCAGAGTTTCTAGTAGCAGCAGTAACAGTCGAGACAGGACTGGTGCCCCTCCACGCCTCACTGGAGGAGTCCTCACCCTAAGCCCGGGAGCCAGCTGCGATGCTGTCTCCATTTTTCAGATGAGGAAATTGAGGCTTGGAAATGGTGCCGGGCAGAGAAGATGCAGTTCTCTCTGACATCATCAAGATTTGCCTCAGTCATACCTGGTTGTTACTCTTCAGGCCCCTGTTTCTCTAAGAATGGAACTAATCTAGTTATTTTAGGATTCCTCCATCTTAATAAACAAGAAAGGTAACTGTAGGAAGCCTGACCCTGTGACTCCCCCTTGAGGTACAGGCTGCCCACAGGTGGGCCCCCTAGGCCCGTCCCCCTCTACTCCAGAGTCATGTCTGGGAGCTTCTGCCCAAACATCATGGACTCAACTTTCCTCACACTTTAGATAAAAGGGCACTTAGTTGAAGGCTGAATACCTTCCGTGCTAAGGAGAAATTTGTAATTTCAACCTTTAACGCTCTATCCCAAGCACAGGCTGACAGAGGCCTAGCTGAAGAAGTGGTTTGGAGGGTGGTGGTGGCAAGTGCTTTTATCAGCCTAGGGCCCTGGGCAATACACTGAGTTGCCACCAGGTGGTGCCAGAAGGCAACGAAAACTCCCACACTGGAAGCATTTGCCTCTGAGGAAACCCTAGTGTTTGTTTTAAAAGTTGACTGGCCAGCCCCTTGGGCCATTCAGGCGAGGTCCAGGTACATGAGGTCTTCCCCAGGGTATAGTCCTGCCCACTGCAGTCAACGCCCCAGGTCCTCACCACCCAGTGTTCTCTTCTGTCCCCTGGAGTCTCTCTCCCTACATTCCCTGGGTCCACGTCACCCTAGCCAGGTGCTCTGTTGCTTCCCTCCAGTGGGTGCTCCAACTCCTGGGTAACTTCCATCACTCGCAAGAAAGTCCCCAGTGCTAGCCGAGAAGCCTGCCCCTGGCCATCCCTTGTAGCAGCCTCTCTCATGCTACAGAAGCATTGGCCGTATTTCCTGGGAATTTATCTCACCTTCTAAAGTGGCCAGGAACTTCTCTGAGGGCAGGCGTCTACCTGTATGACACACCTTTTTTAACCAGTGTCTCCTAGCTCAGTGGAGCGAAAGCCTGCGTTAAACAGACTTGAAGCCGTTTTCTTCCAAGATTTTCTGCATGTACTTCCACAAGGCAGAGTACATGTGTCATCCTCCAGCCTCTAGGAGAAGGGTGGCATTTATGGATCACCACTAAATATGCCCTGCAGCTGGGGAACCTGGCTTGGAGAGCTCAAGGGACTTACCAGGAAGGCAGAGCTGGGGCAGTCGGCCAGAATGCATAGCAGTGTCTTGCTCACACAAGCTTTGGGAACTGGTGAGACACCGCCCCAGCAAATGTAGGCTGTACGTGGTTGCAGTGGGACCTGCCCTCACGAGAGCTCTCCCCACTGCATTGCAGACACCCTGTGCGTCACATCTCGTTCAACAACCACAGCCTCATCACAGCCAACGTGCCCTACGAGAGGGTGGTGCGGAATGCTGACCTGGATAACTTCGCTACTCACGAGAGGTCAGTGGAGGGGTCTGTACTTGTTCAGAAAAGATGAAACCTCACACTGCCCACTATGGGCTGTACCTTCAGGCGGGGCCAGGTTCAAAGGGCTTTTAGGGGCCTGCTGTGGCCAGAATCTGTCACAGTGACAAGGCTCAGTGTGGTGGACTCAGGTACCTTTGTCTCATTAGACTGCCAGCCTGGCTCCTGGACATCCTCCCCGTGAGGCCTTGTCTTCCAGCACTTAATACACCCCGTGCACTTGCCTGTTCAGCTGTAGGCCTGGGATTGTGAGTGTCTGACACACCGTGGGTCCGAAGGACGTATCTGTTAATGTAAAATGAATGCCTCCTGCAAAGACAGAAGCCAATGATGCAGTCCTGACCTAGTGTATCTTTGTGCTTTCTCTAGGCACCGGGGGCTGATCCACGCCTATGAGTTTGCGGTAGACCAGCTGGCCTTCCAGAGCCCTCTTCCCATGTGCCGTTCATCCTCTGACACCATGGCTGGTTACAACCATGACCTTGCGCTGGCTTTTTCCTATGACCGTATTTAGGGAGTCACCTCCTTCCCCAGGAACAGGGAGAAAGATTTTATGAATGACAGGGGAGCTGTGCACTGGTGTCAGATGGTGGCGGGTAAGAAAAGCAGCACCTGCGTGCCAGCGCAGGCTCCTGAATCCCCTTCGTCTGGCTCCTCTGCCAGTTTATTCCTCTGGAGCTGCCTGTGAAAAGCTGGAATTTGTCATGGCTTTGAGTACCACATGCGGGTGACTCAAACTTAGCCTCCTTTCCCCATGTGCCTCCACCCAGACACCCCATCCTGCCCCCCAAGTGATGCCATCATCATTTCATACACAACACCTGCAGGGCCTGTCTCTGACACCCACCCAGTGTAATGCTGACATAGCAGGACTCTTTCTTCATAGCTTTTGCCATGCTTTAAAATTATATATTTATACGGTTATTTCATTAATGACTATTTTGTTTACTATTGCATTTATAGTATGTGCTACAAAGTTAATATTTTCTAAATATTCATTGACTAAGCAGCCATCCTCCATATGGGATGGAAGGTGATCCTATGTAGACAATGAGAGGAAGAACCCTGACCTTAAACCACTGAGATAGGACAGCCCAAGAGAACTGTCCAGTTTGATACACAGCTTCCAAAGTATCAAAGCCAGCACTGCAGTACTCATGTTTTTTCTATCCACCTAACATACCTTCAAAATATCAAAGCAAAACTGATACAAGACAAAGAGAAATAAAATCCACCCTCACAGTGGGTGGTCAGATCAAATCCTTTCAAATACCCTTAGACCATGCACAAAAGGCCACAAAGAAAAGCTCAGATGCACCAAGACTGATACCACACAGGCCCAATTCACTGACCTAATGCAGTATAATCAACAAAACCAATTCCAAACACTCTTGAATTAGCTTGGATTTAAAGAATAAAAACAAACTATAAACTCTCTAGTCCTGGCTCATAATGAAAGGGCTGAATACAAAACCTGGGGTGTAAAGCCAGAAGAGACTGAGAAGAGCTGCTACTGTTTTAGTAGAAAATAAACGAACAAGCTGCCGCCTCAGAAAGCTCCAAGAAGGTAGCAGTGATCCTAGAGAAAGCAGAAGGAAGGAGCAAACAAGGGTACAAGCAGATATTAATGAAACAGAAAACCAACAAATAGTTAATATGAAGCCAAAAGCAGTTTTTTAAAGAGACAAAATATACAACTGTTGGTTAAGCAAAAAGGCTCCAGGGGCTGCGAGGAACAGAAGAGGAGGTGACTGTGGACGAGGTGAGGTCCCTGCAGCGTAGGGGTCACCTGCTCACATTACTGCGTGAGAAAAATGGGGCTTCTCTGTTGCACACAGGGTGCACATCGTTGGGGAGGCCTGGAACTTTCCAGTCGTGAAGGTGGTTCAGATTGCTTAAACATCCATTTCCAACTAGGTAGGAAAGTGGAGCCGGACTGGGAAGCGTCACCTCCCTTTCTTCCAGACTGCTTTCCTGCGCAGGCAGACTAGCCAGAGGGCTTTCTGCTTGTTTTCCACCCAATTATAAGTGAAGCCGGCCTGCCCTTAGCAAATGCAGGGTTTTATTTGCTCCTGTCATGGGGTGGACTGACCTCTGGTAACCTCGCTGTGTAAGGTTTCCATCCAGCCCGCACCTTTCTCCTACAGCCTGAATGCAGCTGGACCGGTGCCCTGGCGAGAATGTTTTTCTTCTCTAGAAGCCGTCTTTTCCAGTCTGATGTTGCAGTTCACTTTGCACGTACACTCTCCCTCCCCAGCTTTGCAGCAATTAAAGATTGAAGAGTTTAAAAGACATTAGACCCAGAAATTTTCACTAAAAGAAGATAGTTTAAACCTATTGTTATTCACTGCCCATAGCTAGTCCAGGGTATAAACATCATAGTGCAGTTTTCCCCCCAGCCTGTTTAGAACGTACCTTCCATTCATGAAAACTGCCTGGGGTTTGTGAAGGAGAGTGTATTGGACCACACTGTAATCTTCAAAAACACCAGCCTCAGGCAGTGTTTGCTGCTGGAAACCCGAACGTTCTGGAATAAGGATGGGCAGAGGATAAATACCCCCTTTAAACCAACACCCAGCGATTCAAAATCCCTGGGCAGCCCATCCCATCTGCTCACCCACCTTACCTTTACCCCTTTGGTTTTCTGAGGGAGCTGCTTTGCAGCTGTTTTTAGTGGATTTATCATCCACTTTTCTTTAGCTCTTCTACTTCTCAAACTCTTCCACTCAGCATCTCCCCTAGAGGCAGAAGAGATTCAAATACACCTCCCAGGGATCCGGAGGGCCAACCACCAGAGGCTCTCAGGCCTTAAGATGTGACTGTAGGACTTGCTTTCTACTTTGAGTTCTCATATTAAATGCTTTGAATTTATACATTGCTCAAATTGTTTTAACATGCAGGCAAGGCATCCTATGGTAAGACCCTGGTATTACCTCCTCTCCCCACCTTCCCTGAAATCTTAGCTCCCATCGTGGCCTTGGTTTTGCAGCCCACAGTTGAGTGGTTTGTCCCAGAAGTTCCACTACAGGGGTCCTAGCCCAGGATCCAAGCAACCCACAACATTACACTGTAAGTCCTGGCGCGCAACTTTAAGCGAAACAATATATAATGAAACCAATTTTACCACAGGCTAATGGATGTTCACAAGAGTTAAGTTCCTGCGGCACGTTTCTGGTTACAAAAACATCACCAAACTTTGGAAGTTTGAAGCAAACATTTCTAATATTAAACATTGAAATAAATGTGAGCTACCCCTACATTTAACAAAGATTAATAAAGTCAGTATTTACCCAATTTTTAGTGAATCAGTAAGCGTGGTTGTAGGGGTGGGGGGTGAAATCAAGGAATAAATGTTTGCAAAGCAAACTGTCAGGAGCACCTCTTACTACCATGCAAGTCAAAAACAGGGTGGCCACACTGGTGCTCAGCTATAGTCCCAGCTACTCAGGAGGCTGAAGCAGGAGCATCGCTTGAACCCAAGAGTTCAAGACCAGGGCAGCATAGTGAGACCACATCCCTAAAAAAAGCGCTCATTGAGCGCTTTCATACTGCATCGTTTATCCTGTGTACGATTATGGTAGACTTTACAAATTTTTATTTTACAACAATTTGTATTCATTCCTTCATTTTCCAACCTGTTTATTCCAGTTCAGGGTAGTGGGTGGCCAGAGCCTATCCCGGCAGCTCAGAGCACAAGGCCAGATCCAGCGCTGGCCAGGAAGCCATGCCATCGCAGGGCACACTTACACCGCGACCACGCAGACACGCCAGCGAGCCGCACGTGCGCAGCTTTGGGATGTGGGGAGAAACCGGAGGACCTGGAGCAAACTCGGGAAGACATGGGGAGAACAGGCAGACTCCACACTGACGGGTGGGAATAGGTTTTTTTTTTTTCTCATCAACATCACCCCACCGTGACCTTCAACAAAACAACCTGCTGTATGTAAGATTGTACATAAGGGCGTTTTTCCAGGGAAAAGTATGGTTCTATTTTCATTATATTCTTGAAGGGGACAGCCCCCCTGAAAATGTCATCTCTGCCACTAGATTGTGCTTTTCAATCCAGGCCACGTGCTGCCTTGGTACTGCTGTTGCCCAGGCAATAATTCATGTTTAAAAGATGACGGCATCACCTTCCCCCACCAGGTAGGACTCGCGGTCTGGCTGACTGCTTCGATTTCAGCAGATCAGAGGAAAACCTGAATTTCCCTGAGAGGAAAACCTGAATTTCCCTGAGAATAGGATTTTGGTCCTTTCTGAAAGGAAAAGTGGACGAACCCCCAAGATGAAGTCCTCTACCGCCTTCCCCATTGACGACTAGAGGCCCCAAATTTAAGGAGATAGTACTTGCCACTCCCTTTACTGAGATGGCAAATGCCACCACAGGGCAACTTTGCTCATAGCTGTAGAGAAACAGCCTCCCCTGGGAGAGTGCAGCCTTTTCGTGACAACTGCCACGGCTGCTGTTAGGGGCAGGCCACAGCAGTGGCTCACACAGGGCTGTCTCCTACTTCCTGCTCCTGACGGGGCCTTTGCTCTGAGCAGCAGCTGCGGCAGCAGCGAGCTCGTGGTGCTGGCTGGCCGGGCCTGCCCGCCTCACCCTCGCAGCCAGGCCAGATGGTCACCTGGCTATTGCTGCAGGGGCCTGCGGCGACTTGGACAGGGGCTGCCTCTCATGTGCAGCGGCAGATTCCCTCTTGCTGGGCTGTGGCGGGTGCCATGTGGGCCCCGGCCGGCTCTCAGCCTCTGATGCTAAACGTGGGCTTCCAGAAGGCGCCATACGACTGCTCTGCACCAGGGGCCTTTTCTTTCCCCAGAAGGGGAGGGAAGCCCCCACCCACCCCCTGTATGCTCCCAGCTGAGTCCATCGTACCACGTCTTTTCTTCCCTTGCCCATGCTAGGACGGACACTGCCTTGTGTTTCTCCGAGATGGTGTGGCAGCAAGCTGCCCCTCAGTACATCCCTGGACCTCACTGCGGCCCCATCGGAGCCACTCTTGGGGTGCTGGCACATCCCCTGTAAGACCGGAGCTCAGTCCCTTGCTGACTTGGTCAACAAGCAGATTAGAAGGCTGAGTGGCTATCGTATCCTGGTCAAGAGTCTCGAGTCCCCCCCCAGGGCCAGGTTCACCCATGACCACACCCCTGCTGGCACTTGTTCAGATTCTGGAAGAGCCTGAGACAAAGGCAGCGCAGATGCCCTGGTGAGCTGGGGTTACACCCGGGCTTCTGGCATTCCGATCTTCCCGGCTTCCCCAAGGTCGCTGTGTGGGAGGACAGCCTGCAAGGCAGGTGTGCGCAAAACCCTCGGCAAGGCAACTTGTATTTTTAACTCTCCACCAGCCTACTTAAGTCACACGGTGCCGTTTCCCGCACGGCAGAGTTCATCTTCAGCCTTGTTAACTGCAGGCAGGTGGGGGACAGGTTGAACTGCTCAGTGACAAGGATCAGATCCGCAGATAACCCGTCTCCCATCAGCAAAGCACACAAAGAACTTCGCAGTCCCTCGGCCCAGAAAATAATAGAATTGTTTTGTTAAAGTCTAGCAATAATTTGTTCCCTAAGAGAGTGCTTGGCCAGAATTGGAAGCTGCTGTCATCTTACTCTGTTCCCTTATGCATAATTCATGTTTAACGTGGCTGCAGAATGTGTCCCCAGCGCTGCTCATATTAGATTTCCATTACACAGCCCTTTTGTAAACCTACCAAATTAGTGTGCTTGTGTCAAATCGCCGTATTCTTTCAGCCTCAAAAAGCCAACTTTCCCCTTGGTAATGTGGCAGTACAGGACCAGAGCCTGTTTCGACTCGATTCCTGGCAGGTAGATGGCTGAAGCCTTCTAGGAGAGAGGCAGGTGACCTTCCCTGGCATCCAGCAGGCTGAGGGGACACCTTCCTGGCTCAGCTTTCTCCTCCCATGGCCTGCGGCCCTCAAATATGAACTTATCAGCTTCCTGCAAATATTTGACTTGTTTCTGCCAAGTTCCTTTTAGTCACTCGTGTCATTTCTGATAGAAGAATGGCTGCTAACTCGTGTGGTTGTTTGACTTATCACACTGGTATTAGATTACATTTCAGAGCCCGTCACCCTCTCTGGGCTGCTGCAGTTGAGATGTCCCCCGTCATTCAGTCACGTCCCCATCCAGGGACGAGGGAGGGGGCTACTGCACCAGTATCAGGGTCTGTGCAGCCAGAAATTCCCTCCTGGGTACAAGCAGAAGCCTGACAGTCCAGCAGGTAATGGGCCGTTTCTGAGCCACCCGCCTCCATCCTGCACTGCCCAGGTGGCGGGGCCGTTCTGAGATCCGCACCCTGGGTCTTTGCTAATCCAAGGCCGGCAGCCCCACAAGACCACAAGCGCTGGGGAATTAGCCTGCCCCTTCTGGGAACAGGTTTGCACCAATGAGTAGCCAACCCTGATCACTCCCTGGATGACACAGAGCATGCTGGGAGCTGGGCAGGAGAATCCTGCAGCCCACACTCTGGTGGAAATAAGCTCTAACCTTGCCAATTAGAGGACACCCTCGGTGACTGTGCACAAGTGAGCTTTCTTCTGAGCAGCCTGGACTGGGCTTTCGGTGAATCGGCCTCATTTAATTTGCTGTTTAGATACTCTGTGGCCCAAAGCTTCAAAGACTCCAGGCAGGTCCTCAGTGGCCTTGGACACGTGCCCATTGTGGCCACAACTCCCAACTAAGACTCGGCACGGGGGCTGACAGAAAGTGGTTTATCACTTATAAAAACATTTCACATTAACAAACTGCCTTTGTCGAAAAGAACAAAATCAAGCTTGGCATGGTGGCTCATGCCTGTAATCCTAGCACTCTGGGTGGCTGAGGCAGGAGGATGGCTTGAGGCCAGGAGTTTGAGACCAGCCTGAGCAAGAGCAAGACCCCATCTCTACTGAAAATAGAAAAAATCAGCTGGGTGTGGTGTCACACGCCTGTAGTCCCAGCTACCCGGGAGGCTGAGGAGGAGGGTCGCTTGAGCCCAGGAGTTTGAGGTTGCTGTGAGCTATGACCACACCACTGCATTCTAGCCCAGGCAATGGAGCCAGAGGCTGTCTCCCCAAAAAGAAAGAAAGAAAAGAACAAAATCGAAGTGAATTGGGAGAGTCCTAGAAAACCCAGGCCTAGGGTGGCAATGCCAGCACTTGATACAGACCTCTCCCATTCGCACAGGCAGGGCAGGGAGCATGGGGAGGCCGGGAGAGGGAGGTTCCACCTGGATAAGAGCTAAATAAGACGACCGATCCCCCACTGGGCTGTCCTACTAGTGACTTTCCAGATTTCTTCTGCTGGCAGCTGGGACACCAAGAGGACACCAAGAGGACCCCAAGCATCAGGGGACGGCGAGGGAGATCACATCCCATTTCCCACCTCAGAAAACCGCCTGGGCTCTACTTGGAAGTTTCCCGGGCTTCATCTCTCCCCCGACACAGCTGACACCTTGAGGATAGGAAGGTAAAGGCCTCTCCCTTGCTCTGCTGCTCTGAATGTTGAATTAAGTCCTAGTTGAGAAGCAGAGCTCTAGAGGCGACTTCAGACCATCGTCTCCACTAACCCAGAGACTGAACCGCTCCTCCAGCCACCAGCTTGTCGTACGAGGAGAGCAGAGGCCACAGGAGAGCCCAGCCCGGTCAGCCAGCTGCTTACCAACGACAATGACAACACGTATGTCAGAGCCTCAGCCGCAGCTTCGCATCTGCTGCCCCAGAGGTGGTGGCTTAACCTGCACTCCACACCCTTGCCAGTGCTGCTGCACTACTCTCCGTGCAGCGTGTTCACACGGCCCCCAAACTCGCTGCGCTGCCTGGTGTTTCAAATTTAAATACCAACTTTCATCTCATCCTAAGCAACAAACAACCCATGGACTCCATGACATGATGTGAAGTTGCACTCTTTTTCTTACATTAAAATAAGAACACACCCGTCGAAGTCAACGCTCATCTGTGCAACACCCAGAATCAGCTCGGGCACCTCGCGTCAGGGCAGGAGTGTGCCCACGGGAGCAGGTCACCTGCAGCACAGCTCTGTGGAGCACTGGCTGTGACAACTACCCACAGGGCTCCCACTGAGCCCGGACAGCCCCAACACCAGGCTGGCGATCTGGCGGCCCAGCCCCACCCTGGGCTCTGCGCGTTTGCAGCCACCAGCACGAGCGGCCGTCTGCTGCAACAGCTCAGGGTGACCTCGCTCATAATGGGCTGCACCCAAAGGAACTCCCCGCGCCTCTCAGCCAGGCCTGGTGGGCTGACGGAGCAGAGACGCCCCTGGCTCACGTCCTCTCATTGCCAGTTTCCATCCAGAACCTTGCAAACCTTCCATCCAGAACACTGAAGCCTCAGCTTCTCCCATTTAGGAAAAGCAGGAAGACTAAGAACAGACGCGCACACGTTTGCTGCCGCGTGTGGGAGACGGCTCTGGGAGGACATCTCAGAAAGGGGCTGCGGTCGCTGCCTCCGAGAGGGGAGGCCGGGGGGGCCGGCGTGGGGTGCAAGCTCCACAGCCTGCTTTTGGTACCTTCTGAATTCTGGACTGCGAGGCATGGGCACGAGGAAGTGAGATAAAGCACACTCAGTGTTAAAACCACGGCGGAAAACTCTGGAACGCACATAAGAGCAGTTGCCAGTTATCACGAGAATTTCCACAGAAGGCGAGAAAGGAGCCTCCTAGTGAGCGTCGATAAGGCAACTGAGCAAATCGGAAACGTAACTACCAGAAAAATGCCCGGAAAACAAACACCGACAAGCTGCGCACAGCGACGGGGACACGTCGCCCAGGGCTGTCAGCACCACGCTCCCGGAGGAGCCTGAGAAATCACAGCGGGCAGGTCGCCCCAGCCTCGCCCAGGCCTCGGCTAGACGAGTTCCGCACGAGCTGGCCCTCGGCCGACTCCTCGGCCACCACTGACCCAGGTGAACCCCTGTTGTTGCCCTGACCCCAGCGATAGCGGGTCCCTGAACGAGAAAGCGACAACTGAAGTTGTCAGAGATGCTTACCTGGGGCAGACACCTCCTCGGCCTCCACCACCGCTGCTCACGCTGGGACCGCAGAGTCCTTGGGCCCTGCAGCTGGCCCCTTCCTGCCAGAAAGAGCCAGGAGCAGCCCCAGCCCTCCGTCAGGAGCTGGGGGTCGCGAGTCACCAGCTGGGGCTTGAATCCCCGCACCCCAGAACAACAGGGCGTGCTCGGGCAAATACCCGCAACGGGCGCGGCTGAGGGCTCCAGATGCTTTGTCCATGGTCTAAATATGTGGCCATGACACTGAGGAAGCCCCACTGCCCTGTCCTGGCCACCTCGGCAGCCCCTCAAAGCAAGAGCTACTTCTGCTTTTTTTTTTTTTTTTTTTTTGA